CCATTTCCGAACACCACGGCTACTGTTACTGCAGATTCTGCATATACTCTTCTAATCGGGACGACTCTTGTGGCTGCTACTAGATTCAAAACAGATTCGAAAGTTGCCGAATGGTCAGGACATATTCGAGAGGTTATTCGTTGTCGAGATCAAACAAGGACAGCCTTGCCTGCTGCCCGGCGGGACACGGCCACCCTTCTTCAGGGATGCCTAGGTGCGGCTGCTTATGATCCATGAAGGCCTTTCAGACTGCAGATGCGTTTTCTAGGATGCGAGATCCAACGAGGATGTGGGAGCAGAGGCAATCTCGATTGAAGGGATTGCTCTTGCGGATGCCTTTACCAAAGTCCATGCATACTTTTCACGGGGATTCGGAAGACCATTCTGAAAGATGCCCACAGGAAACAGTGGAACATGTCTGAGCCTCTGGCAAACGAACCCCGTGAGGTTGCCCAGGTAGCATGTGATGTTATCACCTTGGACGAGGGTCATCCAGCCTCTTCCTAGTCTCTCACGCCAGACTCCTTGCACAAGCTGAGATCAGCTCTTGGTTCCCCTCTGTCGGCGCACTGCGCTTGGCAAGTCTCCCCTGACCTTGGGTTTGAATCTTACTATATAATACTGTAGACACAGATTCTGCCACCGCACGGCATCTGGATCATGCTCGGTGGCGTCTGCCCAGCAGACTGCGGAACTAAGCATCACTGCTCCAGGAACTCTGGACATTCCCCCATGGACGCGTCGAGCCAATCCAAGGCCTGCCGTGGAATCGGGAGACTGAAAGCTGTTCAGCAGCGGTGCTGAAAAATTGCAAGGACTAAAGAAACAAGGGATGTTGACATGCCAGAGGGCCTCGGAGACATTGCAGCCGCTTGGTAAACACGAGGGCATGCCTGCAGAAGCCATAGAAATTGAGGCCATGAAAAGGCTTGATATTGCCGTTCAAGCACACGTGCAAGGATTCTGACAGACCCTGTTCAGAATGTTCAGATACCATGCAAGTTCATGAACACTAGGATGTTCACAAATCTAATGATTCGAGTGTGCCAGATGCAAAGCCCACACCAACTTGCCTTCAACTTTTGCGTTATGCCTTGCCTTTATCCTTGCTGGGCACCGTACTCAGCTGATCCGCATTGCAGCTGGCCGGGCCATCCAGCTCATAGCCATCGTCGCAGGACGGCCTTAGGCACATGGGTTGCTTGTTTACTTGTTGCAGCTTTGAATCTGGAAACAAGCTAAGGGCATGCAGGATGAACCGGAAGGAAGCACCTGCCGCCATGACGTGCATGGGAGTTTGCCAAAGTTAGGGATGCCTTTTGAGGGGCTCTGTAATGAGGATTATAATATCTTGGGGTCTACATTGTGGTTCCCCTATTCAGGGAAACTACCACATAACAATCTCACGAACAGAACAGCAGACTTCCAGGCTTCACTGACTATAATCCCTCAAATCTAATCCCTATACAACCCCTATACAACCCCTAAATAACCCCTATACAACCCCTATACAACCCCTACACAGCCCCTGTAGAACCCCTATAGAACCACAACCCTTATATAACCCCTATACCTCTAAAGAATGGCTCCTGGCTTCAGCCTCCGGGCAGCTCCCGAGCTCCCCATGCTCGGGTCCATTTTGCAGCGAGCAGCCAACAACCTCGGTGCGGTCGCAGCTGACATGAGCCATAGTCTAAACTCCTAGTATCCCCCTTAATAACCCCTATAATAGTTCCCTATATAGTCCCCTATATATCCCCCCTTTAAGGAGTTTAGACTATAGTACACATGAGCCATGGCCTGAGCTCCAAGTATCCTCTTGGTAACCCCTATATCATAAGGGTTTAGGGTTTAAGATTAATCCCCTATATTATACAATCCCCAATATGACCACTAAGTTAGAAAGCATACTCTCAGTCCGAAACCTGAGAAGCGGCGTGCTTGTGGATGCCCAGTACTGCAAGTTTGTGGCTTCTCTTTCAGGCAACATGTTCAGCTACTGGTTTCCACTGACATGAGAAGCTACATTTAGCAAGAACCAAGCCGCGTCCTGCACATGCTGCCATTGTGCGGGAGCAAAGCCGTCCGCCCATAGCAAAGCCACATCAATTTTTGAATTCAGGGTACATAATTGAGCACAGGACTAAGGGGGTTGTTTCTTGCCTGCCAACTCCTGACAAGAAAGGCTGGACATGCTTGCCAGGACTTACTGATGAGTGTGGAAGATGTGCGCAAGTTCTGCACAGCGGAAGCATATCTTGCTCGCAGTTAGAGTTCAGCTCGCGCGCTAGCTCTAGGTGATCATGCCTCAGCTTATGTTCTGCGGCTGCCTCGTCAAGATCTACTGGTATGTTGTCTGTCTTTTGTAGTTGAAGCTCATAGCAATTTTCAGACTGACAGCTTGCCCACTCAAGCCATGCTGACAGCATTCATCTGCACTCGGAAACCAAAGGCCCAGCTGTTTTGGTCTTATGCTGCACGGCCCAACCTTGGAGGCATGCAGCGTAAGGAAATCCCGCGGCTTTCTAATGTGGACATGGCAGGCAGCTTTGGCCTGAACAGACGGAGGTGGGTCGAAGACATGGAAATGTTTTATGCACGCTGCACGAATGCAGACGATCAGACTTCTTGCCACATCCTGTCATGTGCAGCGTTGCTTGCCATTCGGCAGTCGCTGCCTAAACTTTACGCATTAACATCCTAAAGTAACATCTTGCCTGAAACTCAAATGGAACTGAGGCACAAACAACTCTGTGAACTTGTCGTGTAGGTATGATGCCATGATTCTAGATGGTTGTCTCGGGTTATGCTTAACGCAGCTCAGCCCTTTTTCGCAACTGCACCTGTCTTTGGCCTCAGCGGTGCACGTCGGATCCACGACGCAACATGGAGCTTCATCTTGCTGACAACTGGGTGCAGCACACTCCACTTGTTTTTTTCCGCCTGAGACTTCTGCAGGCACAGGCGCTCAAGAAGCTTCACAGAGCATGCCAAGTGGATGTGACAGTTCCTAGGTGGCAGGCTTCTCTTTACCCCCAGACAGTCGCTTTCCTTCCTTCCGATCGCTCGTCTCGGCTTCCTCCTCTTCCCCTCAGCAGCAGCGCATCAAACCAGGGACGCATGTTCCCAAAAACAGCTCTGGTTTCAGGGAGTTCTTTTCATAAGGATTCCAGTCTCTCATGTTAAATAGGGCGGTCTTGATTTGGGACTTGTTTTGGAGAGGGAAGGTATAAGCTCGTGGCTGCCGGCATCTGCGACCAGATTTCCATCTGCTGCCAACTTGGGGCCTGCAGCTTGGCGCAAGCAAGTCTTTCACCACATCAAGATCACCCCGAATGGCACTGACTTTGGGGGCTTCAAGCCAAAGAGCCTTAATGTATTCAGGAACATTGGAGTGAATGAGAGGACCAAGCTGGACCAATCCCGAGCGCCTGAATTCTGAACATCATCCAGCACACGGCCTGGCATTGGGGGGACTGCCGACACACAAGGGTTGTAAACACTGGTATCCATGCAGGGTTGCTAAACAGCCGGAGCCACGCATTAAGTTCAGAAACTCAAGGAAATCCAAGTGCCTCAAAGTCAAAACTGGTCTCACTCCCTATCTACTTGTAGCTCTGTCCCGCATGTGCTTCATAGTCAGGTTGCTCTCTTGCATGGCAGAATCAGAAAGTAAAGAGCTACACCAAGAGTCAGAGCCGCTAGCGCTAACTAGCATTGAACACGCAAGACTCTGGAGCTGACTCACCGTATCTGCCTCACACCCTATTCCAACGGATCTTGGAAGAAATACCACGTAAGAGGGCCACCCGTTCCCGTCAACATCAATCTCTTTGACCTCAGGACCGGGAATGTGCTTTGACCGCATGGGCTGAAAGTAAGGAAGACTTTGGATGTGGGTCTCGACAATCATCTTGCCATGTTCCAGAATATTCAGGGTGCCTCATTCTTTGCTGAAGCCACTGCGTGAGCAGATCTGATAGGGGCCGCAATCAATAAGATTTCACACTTCTTAACTTGCATTCCAATCAGCTGAAGTATGGACATCTCCACTCAGGTTTTAGGGTTTGGGGTTCTCACTGGGAACGTTGCACCCTCAACCCCACGACTGCACCTGGTCATGTGTCGCTCAAAGACGCTTTCACACATGGCAGCCTCCAAATCCTGAGATCACGTCTACTTCAATATATTCTCTATGTTCAGGACTTTCCCATGACGAGCTTTTTGTTGGAACACCCTGCCGTTTTGCTGGCAGTGAGTAGGGAATGAAGAAATAGAACATGCGGACTACTTTTCGGGATTGTGTGAGAGCTGCTGTAGGGATCCGTTCCTCCATTCCCTGCTGAAACCGCGATCCTGAATCATTTCGGGACATTTCCCTTGACATTCCCTGGTAACCACTCCAATGTAGGTGCCAAATGGTAGTTTTTATGTTCTTTCCTTTCCTTTCCTCCACTCCCTACTAACAACCAGTAAGAAAAGATATGCAACTTACTGACTGCAAAGCTTGGGTGCCGCGCATAGCGCTGTAGCCTCGCCGAAGGGATTTGCCATCCTGGAGCAAGGGGTGCCAGTGTCCAGAGCTTTGTCCGGTATACTATAAAATGCTAGTCTAATCTGGAGTAGCACATAACAGAAACCATAGGAATCACTAAAAAAGATCCCAGAACACATATGCAAACCTTGGGGGACTCTTCGTTTGTTGGAAACTCCTAAAGTGAGCCGTAAGCCCTAAGTCCTCCTCAATCCCTGCCAAAGTGGGATCCAGTGACCAAGATTGCCATTCCTCTTTGCATGCCCTTGTAAGGATCCTCAAGTAGTGTTGTTGAGGTAACAAGTCATTCATGAATTGGTTATTTCTGAATTTGAAACCTTTAGGCATCCATAGGCATCCCACGTCGTGGCCGGAACATCTGAAACGCTGCTTGGAATGCGGACCGCGTTTTGGCTTAACCGCTGAACCCTAGGCGTGCCATGCGAACAATTGAGGCTGCCACTCATCACTGCCAAAGCCTGCTCGACCTGCGCAGAATCAAACGTCAATTCGAAGCCATGAGAAAAGCCGAGTAAGCAACGCCTACAGTAATCCTCTTGATTGGGCTTCCCCAAATATTTCGCTCATAGTACTCGCAAAAAGGATACCACATGATACCAGGATACCTGTCAGGTCTCCTGCTCTCCTTGTTTGGGGTATAGCCATAGTGCATCAGAAGGCTTCTCATGGGATCTTCAATATGTGAAAAAATTCCGGAGAATTCTTGAATGTGAGGCTTCGGTACAAACGAACCCGACAAAAGAATGCACCGGAGAAAAGGCCTCGCCTGGCCAGTTGGCACCAAGCCCTCACCATCTTCATCAAGCTCCTTACTCAGTGTTTCGCAACATTGGGTTCCACTGTGTAACGCAGAAAGTTTGCGATTGTGAGCATTTAGGTTGACTGAAAAAGGCTTTATCATCCTAAATAACGCTGGCGTGAAAGACAGCAGCTCGGCACAGCCACGCATGAAATTAAATGGAAAGCATGACTAAAGCTTGGAAGACACACGCCTCGAAGGTTTCCCAGAGGGTATTGGCTTGCTTCGTTGTGAAGTTCAGGGCCTGAGCACTGAGCATGTACGCTAATGTTTGCAAATTGAGAAGTCAGAGGAATTTACGCGACCGAGCTATGACAGCAGTTTTTAGAAGTATGCTTGCGGATAACCCGCTTCACTGAGCAGCAGACCTGGGCCTTCCGCAAGATGTCCATGCGATCCAGCTCAGCAACACGCTCGTTTATTCGCTGGACCTGGAAACAGAGATCTGCCGTCAATATTCTGCAAGCTTGTACTTGTTCTCTAAGGTGACCGCAAGTAGTAAGAGCTCCGTGACATTTAGCAGCCCGCTTCCTTCAGAGTCCGCTTCCTGCATCTGTTTACTGTTGATGACCCAGCAGGCTGGCTTCACTACAAACAAGAATGGTGCAGCCTCTATCAGCTGGGCCATGTTCTCCTGCCAGCCAGGCTCGAGTCCACAAGCCACCTAGTAGATCCAGGCCGTGCCTGCTCCAGAACAGACCTAGGCTTGATGTTAAGGTCCATGAGGATCTGGCAGACGTCCTCAGCGCTTAGAACGAAATTGCAGTTCTTGGCACGTGTGCCCTTTGAGAAACAGGCCTTTATTGTCAGCTTGCCCGACTGGTCGCGGTCGTATTGGTTGAAGAGTGATTCCACCTGGGTAAGGCTGGCTTGGTCAACCATCCCGATCCGAAAGAAGTGCTGAGAAGCCAGCAACATCCATCTTGTCATCCATTCCCAAAGTGCGGAGGTGCTTGACTACTGACAGAAACCTTTGCAGTCAAAGTGCGTGGCAGAAAAACGGAGTCAGCACATCAACATGAAACCTTGGAAAGGAGAGCGTATGATCCTCAGACTCGTTCAGGTGCCACTCAATGATTGCCTGCGCAAGGAAGCCAGACAAACTTGGCATGTACCACATCTTCACAAATTGGTGCTCCAATCTGAATAAGTAGGCTATAGGTACACGAAGAAAAACTAAGTCTTTGGAAATGAGCCTTCTCAATCAATCAGCTTTCCACATCACTCTCCAAGCGAGGGCAGTCCTGAGCTTGCATCTTCTTCTCGACTGGCATGCCTCAGAACAGGATCAGCCTGTTTGCATTTTTTCTGCGCTTCGTTTGCGTCAATGCCAAGTCGAAACAAGCAGCTGGACACGTTGCTCAGGCATCCAAAGTGAGTCAGGAGGTTCATGGCCTGAAGGCATTCCCAGGAATCTGGGTAGTAATAATAAGTATAGTAATTAGTAATAGTCATAGTAATAGCAATATTAGACAACGCTTACTGCACCGGCCTCGTTCTCATCCAGTTCGCCACTGTCATCATCATCAAGTTCTTGGAAAGACCTAAAAGTTTGGTAACGCAATCCACAAGCGCGAAACAAAAGTCCACAGTATCATGGCAGGAAATCCACTACTACCACGCGCATTGACTGCCTGTTGCACGAACAAATCAAGCTAGGAACTCATGAAACTTGATCAACTGGCTGCGGAACCTTAGTATTCCACGCAGATGGGCAAGCTGCCTTTGCCATGTGCTTCTCCATCCTTGTGCAGCATGGGTCACTCTTGGAACATGGTGCCCGAAAGCCCGTACTCTGCCTGCAACAAGCTCCACAACATCTACAGCTCACTCAGGCAAGCAAGCTGGCAGGTGAAAGTCTCGACCCAGGGTCATGTGTTCCGCTTCGCGCCTGCAGCTCCCGCTCTCGACTTCGTTGGCATTGCATCATGTACTCACGAACCGCGGAAAACAAGAACTCCACCTGACAGCACGAAACCGGCGGCTGCTCTTTAAAAATCGGTTGGACCGATGGCTGATGGCTAGAACGTTCGCTGCATGAATCATGTACTCAAAGTAGAAGGAATTTTTGTCATGACCATGAAGCATCCAAGCTCTACATGCCGTTAATCTAAGTCAGGGCTGCTGCCAAGCACCTACCCCACTGCTGAGGCAATTCCCCCAAAAAACAAATCCCATGATCTACAATGGCAATGCAACTCATCATCGTTCTGTCATCGAGACAATAAGTCGGACTAGAGATTCCTGCAAAACTCTTGAGGATTGCAAACAGAATCCCTCAGCAACTTCCACCATCGCCCAGCCCAGCCAAAACTCTCAAATTTGCCCGCAAGCCTCTGACAGCCCGATGAGGCCTGTAGCCTCACTGCGCTATGAGTAGTGCTCAGGGGTGTAGGATCGGATGCACGCGGCATGGAAAGGATTGTCGGGTCAATCTGATGCAACCGACATGTTACAATGAGGATTGGCATGCATGTTGGCACCAACCGGACAGATCGCGTTCCGCTTTGGAACTCCGACCAAAGCCTGATCTCAACCTCTTTGACAATGTTACTTCTTAGAAGGAGCTGCAGGTGGAGGCCCATTTTGGATTTGAGCTAATAGTAGCAATAACAACAGTAATTGTAGTAACAGTAGTAATAGTAGTAATAATACCACTACTAAGAATTAAGAGAACCCCAATATACTATAGTAGTTTCCATCTTATTTTCCATTATCCCAATATAACCCCAATATACTATAGTAGTCTCCATTTTACTACTACTTGAGCTAAGATGGCAAGGCGCACGCATCCGGAGAAGCGACTGGGGGAACTTGCAAGGCCCAGGCCGGATCTGGGCGGCAGTCTGACACCATGGCCTCATTGCAAGGGCTAATAAAGGGATAATGGAAAATAAAATGGAAACCCTAGGTCCCTTTAAAAGGGTATATAGGGGTTATATAGGGGTTATGTAGGGGTTATATTGGGATAATGGAAAATAAAATGGAAACTATTATAGTATACTGGGGTTATATTGGGATACTGGAAAATAAAATGGAAACTACTATACTATAAAATGAACTGGAAACTACTACACATAAACAATACATGACATTAAAGGCAATAATTAAAGAAATGGTGGTGGTAGCAACGGCACTGTAACATGCTAACCGCATCTATGCGCGCATCTGAGCGCAGGAGACATGCCATAAGCGGCTCGCGCCTCCACATACTGGCGCTCCAAACTGTCCTTCTCAGATGCCAGCTGGAGATCCTGCAGAGGCATATATTATACTATACTATACTATATAATCTACGATAATCTACTATAATCTACTACTGTATAATCTACTATAATCTAGTACTGTATAATCTACTATAATATACTATTATATACAAGCATTTTCTGGTCTCCTCTACATCCGCCATCAGTGGACTCTCAGCCCTGTCAGGCCTCCAGTAACTGCATCACGGCCTCCGCATGCAAGCCTCCAGCATCCTGCTTCTGGTTCAGACTAGTATGACCCAGGGCAACTTTCTGAATTCACTGCTGGTGAAGATAGCGGGCGTCCTCCTTGTCTGCATATTTCCATGCCTGGAAGACCTGGATAATCAGGGAGTTTCATTCTTCCATCGTTGCCGCCTGCTTTTGCCGCCCGGGTATACAGCAACATGTACTGCATCACAAGCTCAATGAGCTTCCAGCAGCGAGTGATCTTGTTGATCTCAACTTACTGCGAGCCTGCGCATCATGTAGGTGGTTGCGGAAAATTTGGTCCCATTTTCGGGCCACCAAGCCGTGTTTGAGGAGGGTTCAAGCTGCACCAGAGACTTTCCCACCGGCAGACTCCTCGCAATGGAAGCGGTGGGCCTCCTCTATGATGGAGCAGAAATTGTTGAAGCCAATCTCATCTCCCTGTCAACCAGGAAAGAATGTATCACCGGGTGTCCAAACATTGAGCATTCGAAGTGCATGAATTGAACTGAATGGCAGTCGCTTTGCCAGCGCGCTCGCAAGCAAAACTCGCTACCACACCCCCAGCCAAGGCCTCGTACTCACTCCTGGCAGTAGAGGAAGCAGGAAGCAAAAGTCTGCCAAGCTGTACGCTATTGGAGCTCTACATAGGCAACCCCACTTCGCAGGGCCAAAGATCACAGGACAGCCACAGTCCACAAGCGCGCAGCACGGCACAGAACAGACTTCAACGCCAGCTTCTCGGAACGGCTCGCGGCCTAATACCAGGCATCATTTGACATCTTCAGGATGTTGCGCAAGTGGCGCCTTGATGCCGAAATCTGCCAGTGCTTCAATGATGTCGTCTGCGCTCCTTGGACCAGCATGTCAGTTTTTTTCAAAACAGTCTGGCAGCTTCCACGTAAAACGATGGTTTGCTGTTGGACTGCCTGCACTTTGATTGCCGCACCACCAGCCAGCTTAGGACCCGAGCCAGGCATTGCCAGACTTGGAGGAAAAATACCGCAAGAAGCACTCCTAGTGGCCAAGCAACGCGTAACAGAAAAAAGGCCATTGCCCAACCATCCGTCGTCTCAGAATCTTGTTCAAGCTCATCGAGAATTTAATGGACATGTCCTCAATTCTTCTTGCAGTCGCAAAGTTTACATTCCACCGTCCTGCGCTGCCTCGGCCTCATATCTGTTCACCTTCGAATATCCAATAAGCAAGCGTGCAACCCTGCAATTCGCAATTCGTTCCATGAGGGACCCTGTCGCGGTAGCCAACCGCAACGGTGCCATCGGTCTCCTTCAGCCTTTCCCAAGAAAGTTCATTGACAGCTGGCAGCAGATCCAAGGAGCACGCACAGAAGGCCCTTCTTTGCATCCGTCAATCACATCATGTGCCACAAGCGCAAAGGGAGACATTTGGATGAGATTGGGCATCCTGCTACCAAAGCAGGCATAAAATCGAATTGCACAACGCATGCACGTGTCAAGACTTCTGCTGCCTCAGAAAACTCTGCTTGGTTTTCCCCTGCAGGTGGCAGTCAAAGTGCACATCCCAAATGCACAATGGCAGCACCTGGCAGTTTGAGACTATTCTGTCGTGCGCTGTCATCTGGGTCGACACAGCGCCGACATCTATACACAAGATGTTTTTTTGGTGAGATATGGCATCAGAAGTCGAACTTGAAATTGCCAGCTGCGATACTTTCAACCTGTCACCCATTGGCGCCAAACAACGTCAATGCGCTGAGCTCGGAAGCCTCCTTCTGCGTTAGGTAAGAGGATGGCTGGTACTTGGCACCGCCAGTGCCTGCACTGGTACAAAGCAAAGAGAACTTGCAAACACTCAGAAAGTCCAAAGCCTCCTGCAAGTCCTCAAACATTCCTCTGTGAAACAAGTCATTGTTCGGCCTTCTGAATTTTGCATGCGCCGTCGAGGAGGTTGATTCCTCACTGTGATCACAAGTCATTTGCCAGCACGTGGTAAGAATGAACGAACAAGGTCTTACACCCTTTGAAAGCTTCGCACAGGCTACATTCCGAACAAGCTGCAGCAAGCTTGCTAATGGCGCCAACGATGTGCTGCTTGAGTTTTTTAGCCGTCTGGCCTCGGAGGTTAGCGGTGGTTATATACGGATAATTGATGGAAAAGAAAATAGAAATGTTAAATTTCACGAGGCTAGCTCTGAAAGGCATTTTTCGCCTATGATTTTTTAGGGTGTACTTCTCTGATGAAGATGGCAAAGGTTGATGATTTGGAAGCTGGTTTTGCATGTGGCCAGATTTAATTTAAGAGCAGCAGTTGCTGCTGCCCAGCGGGAAAAAACATGGAGAGTGTCAGGTGGCCAAGTGCCGACGCTGA